CTTTACCCACAAACGCTAGCAGAATAGTAAAAACAGCAGCCAAAGTCGTGCAGTGAGGTTATCAGAATCGCATATTGTTACAATCAAACATTATCATTGTTGTCGACTAAAGTATTGTGCATTGTGTTCAAATTATTTTTCAGATGAATACTCCACGATAGCAACAAAAGTGTATTCCATTGCCCGTGAAATGGAGAAATTCAAAGTCGACGCTATTCCGGAATTAGAAATGAAAGACAAAGACAAATTACAACGCGCACTTAAAGTTCTGCCCAAAGTTAGAGCAAAATACGTTTTGGTCATTTGTAGACCTGAAAATCTGGCCACCATCCTGGAAAAGGTAGTATTTGTCCTTCAGGCGTCATGTTATAGGAAACTTAAAAAAAAAAGAAAGGGAGAATAGTAATACCGCCATAATAAGGAAATAGGAAGGAAGTCTTGGAAATAGTATAGAATTACTATTCTTCAGCCATTTTCTGTCGGATTTAGAATGTATATCGAGCTGTATTTTGGATTCTATGACGNTTAAATTGGAAAATTTACTGCGATGATCATTCTTCACTTTCAAAAGTAATCAAATCTGACTACAGTATTTAACAAAAACATTTTTTAGAAAACAGTCTCTTAAATTTGTGTTAATTTTACGTTATCAGTTTGTCCCCATGATCACGTACGCGTTGGTTAACGACACTCTCTATGCAGTGAAGGAAGCCTTTGAGCAGCCGAAAGTCGAGGAGATCTTGAAATCAAGAATTAAGAATTGCTTTGAACCTGGAAGGCGGTCTACATCAAGCGCAAGAGCACTGCTTAAAATTTTAAACGAAAAGGTAAGTTAAATCTAATGATAAAAACGATTTGTTCTGTCGTTCGTTCCTCCATTCTTTTGTATCCTGCAGACGCGCTCTGCAATCGTGTATCGCGTTCCGCTCTCTGCCCCACTAATGCAGGCTATTCTTTTGTTTCTGTTTTTTATCACCTGCATGACTCCAAGAAGTTCAAATTAAACACCTGGCCAAACATATCCGTTCGGAAGGTCCTTAATCCCCTCTGATTTTCTTAAGAGAATTGTCACCTCGAGCTTTCGTGTATGAGAAATTTAATGCCGGTTGTTTTCGGAGTGATAAAATGTCGTTTTGGGTACCGGAAAAAGGTCGTCTATGACAATGAGACCTAACTGTTTTTGCAAAATAGACAAAAAATTAATTTTAGCGCAGCCTAAAATTAACTTACGGAGCTCTAAAAACACTCTAGATTACCAAGAACAGTGGTTTGAAGCGTTTGAGAGAAAACGTGGTGCCCCTGCATGAAAACCTCCCAAAAAGACATTTTCATTGATTGAAACTGAAAAAAAAAATTGTTTCGTTTATTTTTTTTCGCAAAGTGCTGCATAGGTCCCCTGAAGTTATTAAAGGGGTTATGAATACATATAAAGGCTGTGATGTTAAATTTTCTAACTTCTGACAAACGTTTTCAAATTCTATTGTCGCGTTTTCCTCTTAACATTCTTGGTCTTAGTGTTTTAGGAGCCAAGGCAGTCAGTCATAATTTTAGCACTGTTTTGAACAAAAATGGAGCAACATGCAGTGATAGTGTCCCATAAAGAATTGGCGTCAATAGCGGGAATTGAAAAGGGGGTGAACCATTTGACTTTTGAAGGAGAGGGGTAGGGGGTGATTTGGGTTACGTCTTTTTTTTTTTAACCCTTTTATGCACTAGGAAATCTTTCCCGGACATGTGCATGTATGATATTTTTATCTCCATATATTATACTTCTTTTAGAGCTCTCTGAACGTGCGTGAACTTTTATTCGCCAGTACAGTGGATGAGTGTATGCATTAGTTTTTGGTACAAGTATACTTAGAGGATATTTTGCAAAATCACCCACCCCTCTCTCAAAAGTAAAATGATACACCCCTAAGTCACATCATAAATATTTTATCCACCACGAACTGACTCATTCACATATGTCGTATATACAGCTTCACTTGATATGGTCGGGTCGTGGCATAGCATAGCGATTTCACAGGTACTAATTTGTTTTTAGGTTAAGTTTAACGGAGTTTCAGGAATAGTAGCCTTTGATAACAAGACGCAAAGCCGGCAGGTGGAGAGACTGGATATCATGAACGTTCAGGAACAAGAGAAAAATGGCAATACAAAACCTGTGTTAATGAATGTAAGTCTTTAATGGCTGTTCGAATCTACATACCTCTCACTAACCGAACTCGAAGTCCGTACTGTAAGTTACGGATCCTCGTTTTTCCCCCTTCGATTTATATGGGCCATAAATCGAAGTCCAATACGGACGTAAATCGAAGTCCAGTGAGGACTTCGAAGACGAGGTTAGTAAAATATTTATTATGTTTCCACTATGTGCCTGACAGGTTCGGGAACGATTTCTATTCACGCGGAACGGCTTCAAATTTCTGACGCACCTCGAAAGCAAAACAAATCAATTTGAAGTCGATTTTAAGTCGTTAGCACGCTTTATACACAATTTAGAGTAAAAGAAAGTTTTAAACTTTTACTTGCAATAAACGTTAAGAGCACTTGGCGATAAATCACGGAACAGTTTGGCAACAAAAACAGCTTTAACATTTAGCGGGCCGTACAGGAGAATACGGCCTGCTAAATTGATCAATCACAGCGCACGTACTAACTGAGAGATATAAGCATATTGTATATGAGATGATAGATAGCCAACGATGCGCGTAGCGTCGAGTAAGGTATAATCGTCTCATATCCAAAAAGCGCGAGGGGAATAGTTGCTTTATTAAAAACTCCCCCAAAGTATAGAAAACTACACTAAAATAAAAATAAAAGATCCCCAAAAAATTACTCGTACGCTTGCCCTGTTTGTAGAGCATAGTATATCGGCTCATATACCATTATGGCTAAACCAATAAAAACTCTTGTGCTGTGGAGGCGCATTGGCCTCATGGTTAGTGCGCTTGTCTCCGGATCGAGCGGTCCGGGTTCGAGTCCTGGCGGGGGACATTGTGTTGTGTTCTCGGGCAAGACACGTTACTCTCACAGTGCCTCTCTTCACCCAGGTGTATAAATGGCTATTGGCTAAGTTAATGCCAGGGGTAACCCTGCGATGGACTAGCATCCCATCCAGGGGGGAGTAGAAATACTTCGAGTCGCTTCATGCTAAGGAAACCGGGATAAGCTCTGGCCTGGTGGGCCACTTGGCTTGTATGCAGACTTTACCTAATAAAAACTCTTCGACTGCATTATTCTATGATCCAGTTTTCATGGACACCTATTGTTATTACCTGTATTAGATTATCCGCATTTTGTATCTACTAATGTATTTGCTGTTTTGTGGTTCTGTTTAACAATTAGATTATTCGCTTTCGATTGCTGTGCGTAATAGTTGAGGAGTGCGCAGCCCTCTTTAACTATCTCGCATAGTAATCGAGAGTGAATTATCTAATTGTTTTAGTACAAATCTTCTAGCCGTTCAAAACTTAAGCTAAATCCACTTCACAGACACTTCGGAAACGAAGTCGACACTTCGAAAACAAAGTCGACACTTCGGAAACGAAGAACTGCCCGCCATTTTGTTTTAAGAAAACCACACACTGCTAAGCTACCCCACTATCAACAAAAGTATTGAAAGTTAATAGCGAAGTCAATATGAGAACGGCTTTCGTAGTGGGATTCAGAAGTAGATTTAGACTGAATAGCCGTAGCCAGTTTCAAATTCACGGCTTACCAATGGAATTTCAGAAAAGACAAATGATTATTTTCTATTGAACATAACCACTTATGGAAACTTGAAGCAAATAAACAAATTCAAGATTTTTGCCGAGGCAAGTGCCTCCGTTCGCTGCCAAGGAACTCGGTTCGTTACGGCCCTGTTCTATAATAAGCGCTGGGACAGATTGGCAAGTTCTGGCTCTATTGACGTTAGTCAGCGTGTCTTGCATCTTTACCATTTAAGACAGGTAGTTTCTGAGTGATGGATCTGGTAAATGGGCCTATTGAACCCGCTCTCCTCCCCCCCATCTTATTATTTTACCTGCGTCCTTCTGGCTGCAGGCAGCCTCGCTGCCCCTTTTGTACTCTATTCATTATCTGAAACAAACAATATTCATTCAGAAACAACCATCGCGTTTTCACATCACGGAAATGTGAAAACACGACGCAGGGAATATCTACAGGATAAATCAGTATCGTTCAGATATAAAAAGAGTAAGTGACAAGCTACAGTGCTGGATTATTGTAGGTTGGTCACTGGAGCGCAAACAACGAAAAAACAGCGAACAAGCCAGTTCAACTGAACAGCTTGGAGGACTCCATCGATTGGACTGGGGATTTCTGGGAGGAGTTACAGTGCTTAAGGAAGCAATCTAAGAAGAAGCCTTTGAAAGGACAGCATCTAAAAATTGTCACTATCGAGGTTAGAATCAGCATTGATTGTAGCGAGGACAGATTCAGTGACAAATGTAAAATAATAATTTTGCGATAACTGCAGAAATTCTCGCGCGCTCATTGGCTAATTTTTATTGTCAATAAGCGAACAGACACATGAATTTATAATTTATGCGATGCGTCAACGAGCAAGAGTGGACAATTTGACAATTTGTTCTCGTAAAAAACAAATTGATGTCAGTTTTTAATGCANGTTTGATTTGCATGAAAATGAACCTATAGGCGGAACTCATTTTCATATGAATGGTTTTGCACAAAGACTCGTTAGGCAAAAGGCAACACGGAAATGGTCTATTTACGCCATCGATCGATAGCGAGATTTTGCTAGCTTGAGCCTTCAGTCTGAACATGTGGCTTCACCCTGCAAAAAAATAATTCCGAAAATAATATGAATGGTTTCGCACGAAGACACGTTTTGAAACAGAGGGAAAAGACAACTCGGAAATGGTACCGGCCTATTCAATTTCAAAACCACAGCAATCCCTTCGACACTGAACCGTTTGTTTTCACTTGATCATTTAGCAAAAAATTTGAAAACGCTGTCTAAGAAATTGATTGTTTTGTAGGACTCACCATTTTGTGTGAAGATAGCGAACCACACAGAAGGCAAACCACAATACGAAGGATTCAGTATCGACCTTCTTGAGAAAATAAAAGAGAGGATGGGTTTCAGTTACACCCTCACAACTTCCAAAGATGGAAAAATGGGTTCCAAGGACGCAGCTGGAAACTGGAACGGACTCATAGAATATATCGTGAACAAGGTTTGAGCTAACTGATGGTATTACAAATTATATGACATATACCTCTCATCAATCGCTTTTGAATGGCCAGGGTCGTTACGTCGCGCTTAGAAAACACCTCCTGACTCTTCAACGTTGATTTTTCCGACTGTGTGACGATATCGCACGTGCAATCAAAATTTTACAGCGGAGTATCATCAGTCTACTTAACACCTCTCGTGTCAATACATAACTTCTAGATTGGCATACTGAATGAACTAAACATAGCATCTTCAGGAAATACATGCTGCAAATTCCTGAGCTGCTCTTGGCTATTCGGGGATATTTTACCCTCACAGTGCCTTCCTCCACCGAGGGGTTTAAATGGACTCCGGGAAGGGCGATCTAAAAAGTGCTGAATGCATGAAGTAATGGAAATAGTAATAGGGGCTACTACGGAAAAAAGGTCAAGCTCCAGCAAGATGGGACACCTACCTAAGTTCGAAATTTTCCTTGACTAACACTGTCTTGTTATAATTAAGGTTTTATTTTATATTATGGTAATTTCAGAAAGCAGACGTAGCCATAGGAGCAATAACTATTTCAGCTGCAAGAGAACTGTATGTCGACTTTAGCAAGCCTTTCATGGACTTTAAAGTCAGCTTGTTGATGCAGAAGCCAAAGAAAGAAGACGTCAACCTGTTTGTATTTTTGCAGCCTTTTGAAAGAGATGTTTGGCTTTCCACCATTGCCGTTGTAAGTATACTTGTGTCACAAGTTTAGTGAAGGCACAGATGAAAATGCCATTTTCCTGTTCCATTCAGAGGCTCTGCCGTTGATGTTTCACCAGTATTGAAAATTGCATTTGAGAAATAGCTCTTATATCTTTCACTTCGCATCTTCTCTTCCCACTGCCAGGTAATAGCCATCACGTTCCTCATCTTCTGCTTGGACCACTTCAGTCCCAGTGGCTACCGGGCGACAGCCGCCAGAACTGGCGAAGGGGATGGTGACGAACTCAACCTGTTCAACAGTCTGTGGTTCGCGGCAGGCTCTATTCTGCAGCAAGGTGCTGACAACACTCCAAGGTCTGCCTCTGGAAGGATGCTGGGTGGAGCATTCTGGTTTTTCACATTGATTTTGATTTCTACTTACACTGCTAACTTGGCGGCCTATTTCACAGGTAGTTAAATGACTTATTTGTTGTCTTATAATAAATTCAAGAACGTGATACACGAGGACGGAAATTTGCGAACCAAAACAAACATCCTTCCCGATTCAGGATTCCCAACATTGACGATTAGGTCAACTTCTCCTGGAATTAAAGCCTGACCCTAACAGAAAAGGTGAGAAATAAATTTGGATTGAATTTGTTGATATTATTTACTTCCAGCCAAAAACACAAAAAGCAGCATCAACTCTCTGGAAGACTTGGCCAAACAAAAAGAAATTAAATATGGAGTGTTAAACGGAGGTTCGCTGTACACTTTCTTCAGCCAGTCACAGGTGGGGACCTATCAAACCATGTTTCATACGATGAGCACCGGCAACACGTTTGTCAACTCGACAAAAGAGGGCGTGGAGAAAGTGAGACAGGGTGGCTTTGCTTACTTAACCGACGGGCCGTATCTCGACTATTACAACAGTCGAAATCCCTGTAATACCATGATGCTGGAGAATTTGCTTGAGGCTAAGAGTTATGGCATTGCACTGCAACGAAATTCGGAACTGACCAATCAATTTTCCGTCGCAATACTTAAGGTAATTTTAAAAGACTTTCTTATATGGCTAGGTCTGTGAGCGTGCCAGATGAATCAAATACTTTGCTGTCAGCAGGCAAAATGGAGCTATCTTGGCCGCTCGGTATTGTGCACTGTACCTTGAAAGATGAGAACATTTTTGGGTGTTCTTTATCCCATACATTCACCAAGCTTGTTCGTTGAAGATGGCGGGGTATTTATCCTCGTTCTTTTCTTGCTTGTTTATAGACCTCGACTCCGTCTCGGTTCATAAACACGCACGTAAGATAATATGTGTTTTTCAAGTGATTGGTTGAAAATAATGTTCCAGGTTGTGCATATCGAGGAAGAAAACTGATCTGATCATCGTTCATTTCTTAGCTGCGCGAGGAAGGTGTCGTGGAGAAGCTCCGAGAGAAATGGTGGGATCATCGCAGTGAGTGTCCAGACCCCAAAGCAAAGGTTAGCAGCACGCCTATGAGCATCTCATTGGATCACATGTCTGGTGTGTTCATTGTGTTAGCAGGAGGAATCGTTGTGTCAATAGTGTTTCTGATGGTAGAAAGAAGATACAACAACCTGAAGGAACAAGTCAACAACAGCGGGGTGAGATGATGGCTTAGTCTTTATGATACTCCATTTAAGTTCACAGAAGAAGTCGTCCTGTATCAGTAAAATATAAGGATTTTTTTTTTTTTGATGTATCAAAACCAAAATCCAGCTTATCACTCGAAATCAAATCTGCGGATCTTAATAACAATAGTAAAAAACGCAATGAATCAATCAAAACGCAAAGAAAATACATATAACCAGTGTAACCACGCGTCTCATCGTCTCAAATCTTGACTATTCCTCTTTCGTTTATCATGACCTTACATTGGAATTTAATTATCTTTTGTCGGATTTCCGCGTCTTGAGGGCCACAGTTCGCACGAGACTGATTCTTCTTCATATTGGTATAACTGGTTTGTTTTTTAGCAAAGGTTTTTTGTCAAAAGAAAGATTGCCCAAATTTCGTTGCATTTGACTTTTAAATGAATTGTGACTTCCTTCTTCATTCAGTTACTGGTAGGTTGTACTACAATTATTAGCATACAGCCTTTGATATCTCTTTTGCAGTCAATGGGGAGTGTGGGAGAGCAGATGGACAAACCAACCGTGGTGACTCGAGTCAATCCCAGGCCCCTCTCAGACCAAGGATTCGAGACCAAAACTATTAACAACACTGACAATCGAAGGAAAATGGACATGAAGGACGGAGCCCGGGCACGAGACAGCTTGAATGTTCCCAGAATGCCCAGCAGGCTTCCAAATATTTACGCCGGTGCACCAGAAAGTAATCTGTGAATGGACGCAGCGAACCCTCGTCAATCGAGGTTTTAGTGGCCCGTTGGTTCCATTCTGCGTCGATCACGACTGGAGAAATTATATTTTGAATCTAGTT